ATGACTATTTTTCCGATAGGCAATGAAATGGGATTACCCTAAGGGTGCATGTGTGAATAGTGTGTTTGATTGCATGCATTTTAATCTTGATTAGGGTTGTCTATTTTGTTGTTTTCATGTCTTGGCATACATCCTATTTACTAGCAATATATGAAAAGCAACTAAAACGTGAAAAATAGAATCTAAGCTATTACATCGCTTTAGGGGGATGGGGATACATATTTATGAATGGGGTTGCAAGTAAAATTAAATCCTAAGTTATTATTACAACCATATCGAAATGGATCAGAATGTGCAAGAAATGTAAGTAAAACATGGAAAAAAATGTTTTGGGTGTTTGTTGATTAATGAAATAGAAAGTGATAGCAAAGATAGTGAGAAAAAAAGTAAAAATAGAATTAGCGTGTTGCTGATTAAGGGAGGTCAGAAGTTCTGACTCTGGCGCACTGCAAAACAAAATTCCTGTTAGTAAAAAAACATAAGTAGAGTCAGAAGTTCTGAGTCCACTGGGAGTACACCAACCTTCAGAAGCTCTGATACCACCAGCAACAGAGGAGGTTTCAGAAGTTCTGATACCACCAGTAACAAAGTGGATTTCAGAAGTTCTGATACCACCGGCAGAACTTGGTCTCTCTTTCCATGCTAGTCAGAACATCTGCAACTTACTCATTTCTTCATGAAACTGAAGATGGGCATATGACAGTTATGGCAGGTGTCATAGTGTTTCAGAAATAAGAAATACCAGAACTACAAATCAGAGGCAAGTATGAATACTAATCCTAATTCTGATTTCTAATTTCTTCCAGAAGTTCTGAACTATTTTATTCCATACTTAAGCAGGCAAATATGTGAAACTTCAAAACATGTATAACGTTAGAAACATGATATCTACATTGTGTTTTTAAACATGCAAATTTGATAATGCTTAAGCAACATGATAAGAGTCAGCAGAAGCTTACCTTGCAGCTGGAAAAGATTCTGTAAACTGGAGGTTGGTCCTGGACCCTGGTGACGTTCTGAGCAACTTCTTCACGTACTCAACAGGATGGAGGTTTTCAACTTTTGGAACAGCCAAGGGGTGATACTCTGACCTCTTTGAGGTGGAGGTGAATGGAGAGTGTGTGGCAGTATGTATACAGAAGTTAGAATAACTTCTAATATATGAATTCACAACTGTGGGGATGGTTTTGGTCAAGGAATAATGGAGTTTTAATACTAAAATCAAATGCTATGGTTTGGTATTTTGGTGTTTACAGCTTTTTTGATTCTTGGAACATTGCAAAGATTTAAGGCTTTTTCTTTCTTTTGGTGATTCACTCTCTCTCTCTCTCTCTCTCTCTCTCCAAAAACTAACCCCTTGAACGTGTGATGGAACAAACTATTTATAGATGGATTTGCTGTGGTTTTGGGGGTAAAAACAAAATGAGTTTTTTTAAACATTTTTGGCATACTGTCCCTTTGTTTTTAAATCACAGTTTTTGTAGGCTAATTTGGTGCAAGAAAAACGCAGGCGTGGACTGGATCAGCAGCACCTTGGAGTGTTGTGGCAGCTGGTTGAAGGACTGTGCCATAGCAGGTCAGCAGGTTAAGGTTTGGGATTTGGTGATGTTCTGATTGTAGAAAATCATAAACGTAACCTCCAAATGCTGAAGGGGCATCTTCTGACTGGAGCGTTGAACATAGCCTCCATATACTGAAGAATCATATTCTGACTGAAGCATTATGTTCTGACCAAAGAGCAATGCTTCTGCATGTTCTGATTGAAACATTATGTTCTGACCAAAGAGAAACGCTTCTGCATGTTCTGATTGAAACATTATATTCTGACCAAAGAGCAACGCTTCTGCATGTTCTGATTGAAGCGTTATGTTCTGACCGTGTTTGCAACTTCTGACGGCACTTACATAGAGGCTGGCTCAGAAGTTCTGAAATATCAAATTCTCTAAACACTTAGAAAATTTTCTAAATGTTTAGAAAATTTGATTTTTTCAAAGTAACTTCTGACTTCTGATTTTTGACAAACCAATTTATTGAAAATTTTGAGAACAACTTCTGAAAATTTTGAAAAATAAAAACATAAACACCTTATTTAAATCAAAAACCATTTACTCAAAACTACTATAAAAATAACATTAAAATAAAATAAACAACTAAATAAATAATTTAAAATTTCCAAAAAAAATCTAGAATCCTCTATATACTTGTTATGTTACCACTCTAAGTATTATGTAGGTTACATATGTGTAAAAGAATCCTCTATATATGGAGTGACTCTATGTCTTCCAATATTCTATCACAAGTAGCACCTCTAGTACATCATTTGATCAAATGGTCCAAAAAATAGTGCAAAAGCCAAAAGGCTCAAGATTTGAATTCTTTAACAAATAGTAGTAATGGACCCACATTTAGTAGCTTATAATTAGTGACATTGATAATAATCATTGTTATTCCAAAGTTAATTTTTGACCATCTTCTCTTTAAAGTTATCACATCTTCTTCCACTTTAGTTGCTTGCTTGGGAACATGTCATGCCCAAATGCAAATCCGTTATACTAAAAGAAAGATAAAGTATTCAAAGTGTTTGACAAAACTATCATCTAGAAATTTCAAGCCTACAAAATGGACACTGTGTTTTGATTTATATATTATTTAAATATATTAATTATTTAATATATTTATTAATAATTTCAAATAGAATAATATATGACTTGAATATATCTTTATAAATATTTAAAAAAATCTTAAAAATTCATACAAATACCAGACTAAATTACTACCTTGTTAATAAACATTTAAGTAAGAAGTTAATCCAAGTACACCCCTAGCTACTGTTGTTTTGACCTTGTTTTCCAAACACTCCCCAATAATTTCACTTTAATGATTCACTCACTCATCATCTATATCAATTTCGATAATGTCAAGACTATCATTGGCTTTCACCGTACATGATGTAGAATATAAATATAAACAACACAAAACAAACCATGCTTAAGATCTTTTTTTTCAAATAAGGACCATGCTTAAGATCTTATTAAAGCTAAAGCTTGATAATTACATGCTTATTTGTGTCATAAAAGTTAGGTTTTCGTGATGCTCAGAAGTTTTGTTTTTATTTTGAGAACATTTGTCAACAACAATAACATACAACAACACAACAAATACATGCAACAAAATTAAAAAAACATACATTTTAGCAACAAAACATTAACAACATATAATATCACAAGATATACGAAATTGTTTCAAGAACACACATTTTATTGAAAATAATCGTGGAACTATAATAAATTATGAAGTTCGTCTAATTTATGATGTTATGAAAAAGAAATACAAGGTGGATAAAGTTTCCCCAATAACTCCATACTTCTTGTATTTTTTTCATAGCAACACAAACCATATGTAGCATAGTCAAAGTATGCATTTTGTTAAGGTGGTGAATATGAATCTGAAAAAATGAGAACATTCAATACCTTATCAACTCATACTATACACTTGCTACCACCATCATCACCATGTGTCACCCTCTTAACCATCCAACACCATAATCTGCAAAGAAATACAACAAACTTCAACCATTGTCATCATCATAGTATAACCAATAAACTATATAAAGCAGCCTACTGACTCATTGCAATGGATCTACCATTTTCCTACTGTTACGCTGCTGAAGTTGAAACCAAACCCTAAAATCATAATCCTAACTTCTAAGCATCAATAATATCCAGAAGAAGAGTAGAAAGAAGAGAGCGAGTTAAGAGAGATTGAAAGAGAGAGCAAGAGATCATACCATCTTCGCTACCGCCAGAGTTTGTGTTGGATCTCCGGTCATGTATCCTGTAAGCTTCCATTAAGAATTTTCTGTTTAGGGATATTGGTCACTGGAGAAAACTGATGTGCATAAGTTGATGATATGTTAGGATTTTCTTTAGAGAGAAACGACTGTTATGAACTGGGCGACATATACTTCCGTTTATATATAAAAAAATGTCATTTTTCATCACTGTTGACAAGACAAACTGTGATAATATATTATTTTAAATAAAAAATGAAATATATCACAACGGTTGAACAAAACAACTGTAGTGATATCCCTTTTATTTTTTATTTAAAAATAAGTAAAAAAGAAAATGCACGTCTTAACGTCAAAGGAATAAAATATTTGAGAGGGATGATGTTCGAACTCATGAAAGTTTGATTGTATCACCACTGTGAGGTCACCAACCATTATTATATCCTAACAATTTTTAATTAAAAAATATAAAAAAAAAATGTTAACACTTGAGTTTAGAGATGTCACTGCGGTGTTTGGAAGAACTGTGGTGATCCTTGGACGTTGTTGTATGTGCGTTTTTTGTAGTAGTGTATTCAAGTCACTTAATGATATTGATATTATTGAACATTCACGACAAAGAAGTCTCAGAAAGGACATTTGCCTCCTGATTTTATTTAACACACTATTGTAAGATTATGTTTTATCTCTTTTATTTTAAACTATATTTTTGTTGACAAAATGACGAGTCTCTTTTATTTTGATTAATGACTATTTATATATTATATACAATATAAATTTGTGGTCTTTAAATTTTTGTCCAAACTTCATAATTTTTCTGACTCACCACTGCGCTTGCATGACCTCGCTTTGATTATACACCATCGACAAACCCTACTTAAGAATATTTTTGCTGTAATTCTAATTATTATTTTGGTGTAAACATGAACATAAAAAAAGAGAAAAATTAAATAGAAGGCATACATGATAAAGGAAAAGACCAAATTCCTTTTTAAGCATAAGTATTACAAGGAATTCAAAGTGCAGTCAAATCCTTACTCTTATTCTAGTAAACCAAAGCCACACACCGTTGCAGTTGATACATTCGAAAGAAAAAAACAAACTAGAAACACACATTAAAAACACATATCCATTATTTTATTTATTTCACACCATGGTGGATAGAGAACTTGCAATATAGTACAATGCATCTTCTTGATATTCATTCCATTCAAATCATCTGGAGAGCAGAAGCAATGAAGGGTCGTCTTTGTTTTTCCATTGATTTTCTTTTCAAACGCACCTGCCTCTCATTGTATAGAATTTCAGCCAACCTTCAAAAAGAAAAAAAAAATCATGTTAAGAATTTTCAAAAGAAAAAGAAAATTAATGAAAGATCACATCACATGGTGCATCACATGAATACTAAAAATGCACAAACCTTTCAAGAGCTTCAGCATTTGTACCCTCGCTTGGTTTCTCGAATGGAAGAAAAGAAGTTACATTCAAAACCTTAACAGACTGTGGGAGCAAATCATCTCCTGCCTTTATAAGTTTTTCCATGTTTTCTTTACTAGTATCATCAGCAGCTATGGATGGATCCAAATTATACTCCTGCATATAATTATAAAGAATTTGAATCTCTTAACTTTCCAATTTTAGTTAGAAACCGAAACCCTAAACCCTAATCTCTACTGGTACATGCATGTACCTGAACTCGAAGGTAGTAATTGTCGGAAGAAGATGAATCGCTTGGAAACACAGATTCAAGATGATAATCATTCACTTGTCCAGCAGATATAGCATAACCAAGAGCTAATATGGGTACCCATTGATTAAAGGAAAGGAACTGTCCCAAAGAAGCAGGAAGTTTTAAATCTGATGGACTACTTCCTGTTCCTAGTGACAACAACACGATTTTGAGGGGCTCGTTTGCTTTTATTGGAATGAAATCAGAATTCTTCTCATTCAATTGTTGTATCACTTCACTTATTGCAAGCAAAGCCTGAATATACAAATTATTAACATGTCATGGAATGTGCGTGTATCCATTGATCAACATGAATCGAGAAACATAAGTTTGGAATTTACCGGGCCAGCTGCAGTGAGAGCCCCATCAACTAGATTGAATTCCTTATCACCATTCTTAAAGGCATACGGTGGTAGTTGGGATGGGAAAGCTGAAGTCCCAATACATATATCAGAAAGTTTTGCATCTAGGCTAGGAACAGTCTTTAGCTGCATGCACAAACAAAGTTTTACACACAAAAAGTCCCAAAATATTTAAGTATGGTTATGCAAAAATGCTGACCTTAAAGCTTGAGAAGATAACTGGGTGTAAATCAACGGTATCAAAGGTTGGAATTACAACATTGGTCAATGTATCATGCAGACGTGTTTCTTGCAAAAGCTCATGTGCCTTTTCATGTAAGAACTTGCCGTCAAACTTGGCATGTGGAGTATCATTATCCCAACCACTGCATGCATTTTTTAGTAGAAAAAGAAAACATATTAAAAATAATGTTACTGAAATCTAAATATCATTCTTGTGTTTTAAGATGAATGAATAATTACATAGCATCAGTTTGGTTGAATATAGAAGGACCAAATTCCAAGTAGAATTGTAAGATTTGTTTAGTAGTAAATAAAGGACGTGAAGTGTCATTAGGGTTAGGAGTAGTTAGCAATCCAGTAATGATTCCTCCTGTACTTGTTCCTGCTATCACATCAAAATAGTCTGCTAGTGCTGCCTTTTCATCTCTTGACACACTCTGATCAACCAAATCAAAATTATTCATTATATTATACTTCATGAATCTGTTTAATATTGAGTTTTAATCATACGAAAAATTTAATGATTGACCTGAAGAGCATTTTCCAAGTACTCAAGAATAACAGTTGGAAGAATTCCCTTAATCCCACCTCCATCAATACTAAGAATGCTTACTGTATTTCCATAGGAAGGAGGTGGTAGCTTTGTATTCAATCCGCCAATCACTTGACTAGCAAAAACAAATACAAATAAAAGGAAAAAGTTATTAGCCATTATATTTTGCTTCAAAAGAGAACACTTCAATTTGAAGATCTTGCATTTTTCCATCCAAATGTGAAGGGTATTTATAGGTCCATCATCACCATATCTAAATAATTTTTAAATACAAATAATTTAAATGTGTTTCTTGTATTATTGGACGATGATATCATCCTCTATAAAAACAAATATTAATAATAATATAATAAATCTACTAGTTTGGCTTATCCACCCACTTTAAAAATAACTATAATTAACACCTTTTTATAATGGCAATATAATTAACATCTAATGCAGTATTCTCAAACAGATGTAGCCAGGAATATGCAAACAACATCTACATCTTAATGTAATACTAGTATTACATTATACACAATATCCCCTGCAATATATTATTTAGGTGAATTTTGATTTATTCCATGTAAGAAAAAAAATTAGATCATTTCTTTAAAATATTAAAATTTTATGTTTTTTTGTCCTCTAAGTGTAAAAATTACCACCATGTAAATTTTTTTTATTTACTCCAAATTTAGTGTTAAATTTATACACTTGGAGAGATAAACCAAATAATAAAATTAATTTGAGAGGGATAATCCAATTTTTTATTTACAAAAAGGTAAATTAAAATTCGCTTAATTAGAGTAGTACTAACCTTTGTTTTGATCTAAATTTGAATAGTTGTTTCTGTGCTGTTTCGATATAAATTTGGGAGTAACCAAGGTAGTTAACAACCAAGGTAGATGCCATCACCCCAAAATAAATAAAATTAGTATTTATATTATCATTTCAATTTTATTGTATTTTTATGATTTTTTTAATCATTATTAGTTATTATTATTACTATTATTGTTATTATTAATTACTGAGAATTATTTATTAAATTAATTTTTTTAATAATAGGAAAAAAAGTTGAAAAAACAAAAGTCAGTAGAGAAGTGAATAAAAAATAAAAGTCTAATTTTTTTAAGGAGTGAAATAGAAGAACATGAAGGGATAGAGAGAAAAAGTAGAGAAACAAGAAAAACAAACATGTACTTTGAGAGAAAAACTCCTCACTATTAAAAATTTCACCGAATTCTTTTTTTTCTTCCAAAATCTTAAATTCACCAAAAGGTTGCAAAAGCTAACGTTCAAGGGAGTGTTGTTTCCATTGTTAGGATTTTGGCGGAGAAAAGTTTGCAAACTCAAGGTAAGGGAGATTATTTTATAATGGGGTATTTTATCGTTTAGGATAATAGAGTTTTTATTGAACTTCGAGTTCGGCCTTTGAAGTACAGTCTTCGGCACATGCTCCAATCAGACCTGCTAGCTCATGCCACATCTCAAAGATTTCATGGAGGTCCAAAGAACATGTCACTACTTCCCCCACATGCAAGTCATGCCACTGCTCACGTGTGTGATGAAGAGGTAAAAATATTTATTTATGCTTTTAAATATTTTATTTATATTAACTATACTAATTGAACCATGTAGTATTGTTGTATTAATTTTTATAATACCGTCATAATTTAGTCTGAAATTCCATTTGTTTTGTGTTTTCGGTCATGAACCAAACACAATTGTTTTTTTGAGTACACAATATTTGCATAAATCAATTTTGCAATTAAGATCGGTCTTCAATAGATTTCGTTTATGAAGTTTTATCATTAGACACCGATTGAGATGACTCAGACGCATATATCAGATTTTGGGTGTATCATTATCAGACTTAATTGATGTAACATCACCTATAATAGTTTTTCTCAGCAATTTTTTAGATGTTAGACGCAGTTGTGAAGACAAACTTCTCCAACATTGTGTTTTGATGAAGACAACTTTAAAAGTTCTCAAAATTATGTGTGTTGTCAAAGAATGATAAAAGCTTCACAATCAAAGTTCTATGGCATCAAGACTTGTATCTCAATCAATTTTATCAAGATAGCTTTGGATCTTAAGGTGTTGATCACATCATTAAAGTACAAGTTGCAATCTTCTCAAGTATTTTAAAATAGTGCTCAGAAAGTATTGTGATCATTTCACCTTGATGCGTAACTTATCTCTTAAGATCAAATGATTTGCATCAAAATAATTTTTTAAAGTGCTTTTCAAAATTGGATCAGGAGTAACCGGTTACACCATCCGGTTAACCGGATACACAAACGAAATATTAAATTATTTTTGAAATAACATCAGGAATAACCGTTTAATCAAATGTTGTAAACGGTTACACCTTCGAAAAATTCAAATTTTTAGAAAACGCTTCAACTGTAGTCGATTATGATTATGTGTTAACCGGTTATCACTAAAGCAACAATACTTTTTGAATTTAAATATGATTCCAATGTATTCTAAATTTTATCTATCAATCAAGGTATTGACTCATGGTATTATATTCATTCTTACATGTATAATGCATATATAAATACCCAAGGTTTCATATTTTGAAAACTCGCCTCTTTCATTACAATTCAAACTTAATTTTTTAATTTCAAACAAGTGTTTTGTGTCATAAACTTTTTTCTGAAACTGCATTCAATTTCATTGCATCACTAAAAGTTTCATCATTACCATTATGAGCACTTGTGTAACATACTTGTGAATTGTTTACCTGAAAGAGAAAATCAACTCTAGTAATTGATAATAGTCTTATAACTTCAAACTTATAAAAAATCATATTTGTGTGTATACCTTTTCGTCCATGATTGTTAGAAACAAGAGAGTGAAAAAGATAGGATTGTTTTCTTTTTCTACTTTGTTGAATGATAAGGTGATTTGCTTTAGTGATTTGGTTAGCAACTTTTGTGTAGAGACTAGGATTAGGCTTGTACAAGGTTCTAACAAACAGTAAAATCTCTTACATGTTGTAAGGGTACTAGACGTACTCTCGGACTGTAAGAGGGACTATTATACTCCCTTTGTGTTCTTTACATTTTTGCACTTTATTGCTTTCATAAACACCATCAAAAAAGAAAATTAAAGTAACACATCTCTAAAACTAAAAATCGATCAAAACACCTATTTCAACCCCTTTCCCCTCTTAGGTGCACTCTGTTCTTCCTCTATATTTTGTCTCCTTTGAGAATGAGACAAAAATATAGAAAAAATAAAATCGAGAATAATATTATCATTTCCATATTTAAGAGTAGTCTCTAAGTGCTCATAAGAACCTGGTAATGAACACAACAAGATAATTGCATTTTCATCAACAATTTCCCCCTAAACCTCACTAGATCGATAATTATGTTGAAGACATTGACATGTTGAAAATTAGATCTTTCATGCATATTTAGACTGTGTCATAGCTGCTTCGCGAATAATTAGTTCATCATCGTCTTTGACATATACTAACTCTCTAATTTTTCCTAAACATCCTTCATCGTTGCTTGGTCCATGATACGATTCACCACCTTGTCATTCACACATAGGCTAGTCAATCATGCGAACTTATCCTTCATCTATGCCCAATCAGTATCCTTATGTCAGTAAGTTTTGGCTCACATAGCGCTTTCTAAAAACTTTGTTATGCTAATATATTTTTAACACCCCTTTCTCATTATCAGAAATTACTCGTCTCGTCGAATCTTATCCACTAAAGCTTTGAACCATGATTAATTGCCTTATGATACGAATTGTTAGAACCTCAACCAATATCAAAGATCAAAGAAATGAAAGTAAGTGATAATGAACATGATCGGTCTTTGTTAGTGCAGTTCAACCAACGGTGCCTACCTCTACAATTATAAAACAATTGTAGCCCTGTTTATTTTTTAATGATATTGGGGTTACAATGTTATAAACAATATAAAGAATATAATACGACTCTGTTGACAATATTACCCATGAACCTAACACACGTTTCGGTCAAACACAATATTAGAGTTTGACTTAACTCATCCTTACAAAACTAGCTTGTAAGGTGGGGGGCGCCACTATATATAAACTCTTTGGATGCTCAATGTATAATCAGTGTGAGACTTGAAATGTTTCTTATACATGCCCTCACGCATAACACTCTTTTTAGACTTGGTGCGTGGATATAATTAGTGGGTGGTCTATGGTGTAACACCCTATTTCTCCAACAGTAATTTTAATAAAAATCAGAGTAAAATGAAACTCCAAAATAGGATGTCAAATCATTCAACATATTCAAATTTTCTCAATTAAGATAAAACAGACACATAACACACATTTCAGATGAACCGACAACATTTCCACATAGTCTTTAAACTTCAATTTTATTAACGCAGCGAAACGAATTTCATAATTTTTCTAAAATCTTCAACCATCATAAAATCAACAATTTAATCAATTAAAAGTGAGTCTAAAACACTCCCAAAATCCTCAAAGAAAACATAAACTAAAATAAAACAATTGAGCGTTCATCCCTCTGGTGTTACGTATCAGAGCAATGACACCTACTCAAAATAAAAGGAGCAACCTCTTCTAGACTCCGCAACTTCGCACTACGCCTGGTTATCTGCATGTTACCCACGTAGAGGCAACATTCAAGCAATAAGGGGTGAGATATCATGACAATATAATAAATAATATAGTTATGAGTAAACAACAGATATATCACACAGGAATTCAAGTTCTACCATTATTAATCACATCACTTCAACAAGTCCACAATTCAACAATTCAATGATTTGACAACCCAACAATTGAAATGCAACTGACTCTGATACATAATGCATGTGATACCATCAGGGCATAATCCCTCAACAAATCACCATATAGGCCAGGGCATAAGCCCTCAACATTTGCCAATACAGGCTAGGGCATAAGTCCTCAACATTTACCATAAAGGTCAGGGCATAAGCCCCCAACGATTGCCAATACAGGCAAGGGCATAAGTCATCAACGATGCATGAAATGTAACATGCTACGATAATAGTATGCCACCACAAGCATGATCATTAACATCATGCCAATTTCAGGCCAACATCACCTTTATAATACTGCAATATAACCTATAATTCCTTCACACATCATGGATACAACACCGATACAATTAATTGCAACACTTTTCATTA